TCTATCTATCTATCTATCTATCTATCTATCTATCTATCTATCTATCTATCTATCTATCTATCTATCTATCTATTCATTCCAAGAAGATATTAGAACAAGAAGGAAAATGAAATAACAAAAAAAAACCTTACAAAGGGGAAAGAGATGGTGAGGTAGACCTGCATGCCAGTATTAGGTTTTGTGAAATTCTACTTGATCCTCCATGCAATCCTCATGGCAACTTTCAATAGGACAAATAGATAAAAAGAACTGTGATTTTAAGTGCAGATGTTATGTTTCACCTATATTATAAAAGGGAAAGGAAGAGATATCCTTGATCTTCGGCTTGTACACTTTGGCTGATGCTCCAGTTAGAAGTTTACTGGACTGGGAAGCCTTGTAGCAAGGTTACTGCGAAGTGGGGCTGCTTTTGAAGACTAGAAACTAAAATTGGTTCTGATGGCAATGGCCAGTTGCTAACAAACAGAATCTTGTATTACTCAATGAGACCGAAGTTACAGAGTCTGCACTGGTTATTAGGCCCAACACTATTTATTTGTTTGTTTGTTTGTTTGTTTGTTTGTTTGTTTACTTACTTACTTACTTACTTACTTACTTATAAAATATATTGGCTGCCCATCTCACCATAGGGTAATTCTAGACAGCTTAAAGATGCACATACAGTTGAAACCTAAAAAGTTAAAATTCAGACATTGAAACCAAGGACCCATGAGGAGGGTGGGGTTGGAGGGAGGGAATCTATTATTACTCAGCTAGCTCCATTGCACTGTTTCTCCACTGGGGCCCCAGGCCAACTGGCAGAGCCACATCTTTAGGCCTTTAAGAAAAGATTGAAGGGTTAGGGACAACCTCACATCAGGGGGCAAGTTGTTCCAGAGGGCAGGAACAACAGCAGAGAAGGCCTTCCTCCTGGACCCTGCCAGCCGGAATAATCAGGCTGACAGGACCTGCAGCGTGCCTCCCTCTGGCATGAGTGGTGCGAGCCAATCCCAGTGGGGTGAGACAGTCCCTCAGGTAACCTGGATCCAGGTTGACCACCAACACCTTGAATTGCACCCAGAAGCGGACTGGTAACCAATGCAGCTCACGAAGCAGTGATGTCACAGGAGGTATTCTTGGGGGGGGAGCAAGCTACCTGCGCTGCCGCGCCCTGCATCAGCTGCAGCTTCTGAATGCTCTTCAAGGGTGAACGCATGTAGAACGCGTTATATTAGTCCAGCTGTGAGATGACTAGAAACTGAACGAGCTCAGGGAATACTGATCCAGGAAAGGCCCCAACTGGTGCACAACATGAAGTTCTGTAAAGGCTCTCAAATGGTCACAAAATGTTGGTTATCGCCTCTAAATCCTTGCAAGGAACAACACTGGGTTATCTTAGGTTCTGTCTAGTCTGTTTGTCTTGTCAAGTCATCAAGAGATTGCTCAGATTCCCAACCTATGAGAAGAGATGCATGGGGTGAAATGCAGGCCTTCTATTGATGGCCCCAACATATTGGAGCCTAGTGTTCCTCTAGTCCCCTCATTTCTGACTTTTGGGAGAGTTTTCAAGAGCTTTCTTTGTAAATGGAGGTAGGAAGCCTGATGCTTAGATTCTGAGGCTAGGTTATCAAGTTGTATACATTATCTTAATGGCTTGGTTGGTTCATAAAGTGAGAAATGTTGCAAGACATTTTGTTAGTGTAATATTGTTTGCCTAGGGAATATATACTTTCAATTACATAGTAGTAGTAAAAGTAATGATAATGATAATAACCATTTTCATGCCAGGGGAACTTCTGCAGATTTCTCCCATATATACTTATTATAAAGTTCTAAGTAGCTTATAAGCGTATAAGATATATGTTTATCTGCCTATCTGTTTATCCCTGTCTATTTATTTATCATCTATCTATATATCTATTAATACAGTAATCAAGAACATTATCCAAATCATCAGTATACAAGAAATAAAAATATAATACTCTGATATCTGCCTCCTGTTTGCTATTATTTGCTATCAGACCGTGCAAGGTCTGTCATTTCAGAGCAAATCACTCTTCTGGAACAGCTTAAGGTTGCAAAGCAGCTGCTTGAATATATAGTGCAGTTGCTTCATGTCCTCCCACGGTCTCAGAGTAGAAATGTCTAGGCCTTCTTGGTAGCTGTGGTTTTGTGGTATCTAGAGAAGCACGTCACTTAAAGTAAAGCATCTCTTTGAATGATTTGCCTAGCTTTGACTCTAGACACTGGGGGCTGAGATGGCTTGTGCTGTTCCGTATTAGCTCATGGACCAACCGTTTCCTCACACTCTGCTCTATCTCACCCTTTATCCCTCTCTGCATCTGCCTACCTCACCTGCAAACATGCCATTCCCAAGAACATTTCTTGCTGATGGGATTCATGGAGCCTTGGCTTCCTCCTTTGTGTCTCAGCTCCAACTCCCCAAGTTCATTTGATGAGTGTATTTCAATATCTGGGAAGCCAGCTACCAGTAGCCATGCAATGGCTGTCTGGAGTCTGGACTGTGGTTGGAGAGCAGAGCAGAAGCACCTGTGGTTGTTTGGAGCAGGAAGATGATGTAACCCCCTGCAGAGAAAAAAAGATTGTTGAAACACTTACATGGCATGTTAAATAAAATTTTGGCTTCTTTGTTTTAGCCTGGCATATTGTATGAGTTCAGCCTTGTGGTTTATAAACCATAGTTTATTGTGTGTCTATAGTCAACCATCTAAAATTTAGTCAATATTAAATGATGGCTCTGTGCAGTATGTAAACAAAGCCGAAATCTGGATTCACACAGCACTCAAGGCCATCATGTGTTTGGTTGAACTTGGTTTAGCATGTAAACGAACAACCAAGGTCACTGAAATGTTCTTAATATGTACTGCATGTGGGGATTTGAATCTAGGTCTCCATATTATAACTCTAATCAAATTGAATTTGGTTAGCGTTGTTTGGGCTATCTGCCACAGCACATGTCATCATTTGGATAAAAGAGAGAAGGCTGTCTTGAGGTATTACAGGCACAAGATGTGAAAAGTTCTTAAGTGCAGAACACCACCACATATTATTTCAGAAAGACCAAAGAAAGGCAGTGTAAAAGCTGAAATGTTGGTGTACTTTGTGTGATATATCCATCTAGTGAACACTCCCAAGACGGATCTCAAGGGTTGGCTAATTATTAATTTTTTTTGCTTTGCTCTGCACTCTTCCCTACTCGAGGTAAGGTAGAAATTTGAGGAAATGTGAAGCGGGGACAGTAAGTACGAATTTTCACCAGCCTACTTCCTTATTTGTCACATGTCCACAGTTGCTGCTTCTTTCATTCTCATTTGTGCCTTAATGTAAAATGACTTGTTAGCTATTGAAATGAACATTCTTGCCAAAACCAGGTTGGTTGCATCAAGAAAAGAGTCTGAAAATAATGGAATGAAGACAAAACAGCAAAATGATGCGTCTGAAAGAAGACATGGAAACAATCAGAAAGAAAGTAGAGTTGGACAAATCGTGGGAAGTTTGTAGAACTGAAAATTGTTGCCACCTGTCTCACATTCTTTTACTGCTTGGGATGTTTCTTTGAATTTTTGCTGATGAATCAACGTCTCTTCAGTTGTCGTGAGCATTAAACAGAGGAAATTTGAAGACTGTAACTCCACCAACCCACACAAAGGGAAAGGTAAAGCACAGGGAGTATAGAGAAAAGGGGTGCAGGATTAGATCGGATGTTGATAAATGGTAGTTAGCCCTTTTTTGACATCGATAAGGTAATCAGGAAATTGGGGTGATTGGGAAAGAGGAAAACCCTCAAAATATAAACCTCAGACCAAAATTTGTCATCTGGCCCAAACCAATGTGCCACCATTTGTGTGTGATCATGTTTGAGGTATGGTTTCTGCAATCAAACTTAAACTAGAGGGTAGAAGATATGTTATATGCATAGAGATTAAGTTGTAATTTGTGAGTGATCAATATCTATATCTGATTGTATCTTGCTCTGTATTTTGTTCTCTGCATCCTAGCTGTGAGAAGTGAAGAGTTCTGAGGTAAAAAATGTGAAGTATTATTCATACTTATAGAGAATTTTATGCACAAAATTGAAAAAAGATTCTGCTCAGGTTTAGTAAACCCTTTTCTCAGAGATAGTTGCTCTTTTTATTTGGACAGAATTTCTCTTGTACTGCTACAGGGCAAACAAAACTCCAGCAAGGGTATAGCTTCCTTATTATCACTCTGCTATGTTGCAGCAATGTGGGCAAAGAACATCAGAGTATTATATAAATTCGGGTTTTTCACACTGCATTATGAGAGAGTCTAAAACAAAAGTAGCTCATTCAAACGCAGTCAGTATTGTATTATTTAAGTTTTGGTTTCTGAGATTTATTGTTATTTTTTTTACTGAAATGTTCCACAGCTTGAGAAACTTTGCAAACCTTAGTATTTTGGTTGGTCATACAGTCAGCCAGAGGTTGGACTGGATTTGGCATTTTTATCCACCTGTCAAATCCTCCTCAAGGACCAGGGATAGGCAGATATTGATGTTTGATTGTGTTAGAGATATCATTGCAGGATGTAAGCTCTCCATGTACAGCTACCTTTTGCCATAGATAGACCAATGGTGAATTTGTCGGTGCAGATAGTGTTCAAGTGATGCTCAAGTACCTTTTTTTAATGCACTGGACATGTTTTCCCATGTCACTTTTCATCTCTTCATTTAGTCTTTGTGGTAGGCCAGTTTGGTCTCTCCAATCCTCAATAAGCCTTCCTGATATACTAACCTCAATGCATCTTCTTCAGTATCCTTCAGATATTCTCCCAATACCCCTTGTTCTTATTTTTATTATCAAGCATACGTGGAAAAAGGCTGTTACAAATCACATAAAGCAACAATAGTATATTTACTAAAAGTGTTGATCTGATTAATCATTAAGATCTGTTTTCAATATGTTACCCCTGCCATGTTCCCCAGATATTTTTAGGCAACAAAGCTAAGTTGCTTGTTCTCAGTATTGTTGTTTTAACATTAAATCTTCTGCCTATTTTGGGTGATATGTAAGTTTCTAGCTGATGTCCATACATGACCAACCCATGCAGATGTTTTTGGATGATCATTCCTGAGATCATTGATATATTGAATAGGACACTGGTGGTGGTGGATGCTTCGCATTAATTTGATCTTATTTATTGATCTATTACACAGGATGCTTCACAATAATATGGAATAATAACAATGCAATTTTGTCTCCTAACATTAATAAAAAACCATCCAATTAAAATTTGCAGATATGTACAGTTAATGCCAAAATAACAGCATGAAAGGAGAGAATGCCATTGTTAGATATCTCACAAAATAAACATTTGGGATTAGGCAAAAAATTCAAATCTCTCAAAATACTATTTAGCAAGCAAATGGATATTTCAGGGTCAGTCTTATTTGATTGTTCCTTTGGTTCTATATTCTGGAAAAACACATTCAAAAAGCTTCAAAAAAAATCTAAAGATTTTACCTGCCCCTAGCCCCACAATTTTGGTCCAAAGGCCTCTGTTTGCTACCTTATTGCACAAGGTAGCCATCTTATGCCCAACCCATATCTTAAGTCATCCATAGCTATTCCACTTTAAAGTAGCGTTTTCCCCTTTAAGCAGCAGTTACTTTGAATGCAATCCTTTGTGCTCCACTGACCATCATTTGGTCTTGTAGTCACCTGCTTCTGAAGGACTAGGATTAGCCCTATAGACTATGGGACACTTTAGAATGGTGCAGATATGCCCCCTTCCTTCAATCTCATAGCCTTGGCCTCATGGATCACTCTAACCCGGGCAGTAAGCAGGTCTGATTTGTTCAAACCAGCTTCTCTCCTTGTACCTTACATGAAGTAGGAGGGAGTTTATTTAAGGGAAATCACTGAACTTGGAAACAAGAATAAGCATTTGCAAAACTTTGCAAAATAAGAGATGGGCAGTCCATTTGTCAGCTTTCCCTTACATCAAGATATGTAAAAGAGGGTCAAAAACATCAAGATGGGCCCACTTTAAAGTACTTGGTGATGAAAGGGTGGCCTCACCCCAAGTTTATTGCCAGCACCAACCTTGCTTCTGAGATTTTGCAAGCTAGTTCCTTTTTCCTTGAAATACACCTGACATAGCATATAGCTTAAGAAATCTTAATTGCTTATTGCTTATCAAATGTTTATTAGGGGTACTAACAAGTGATATACTGCTTACCCCTGCTTCCTACCTGTCACCATCATGCCTCAGGTTGGCTTTACCTCATGATTCATTTCAAATTTTCTACTACTTTCTTTTTGTCAGTGTCAACTTCCTGATTGTGGCCATCAGTAATCTTCACTGGAAGCAGAGAGTTTATATATATATATGTTTGTTTTCTTAAGTTTTCGCGGGTAGTTACATGTATGGTATTGGCATCACTATGAACACTATACAGAAGCCTGATGATGGCAGATGAGATTCTGCCGAAACGTTGCTACAACTTTAAAAGCACAACTACAATGACGTGGGAAAATACCCGAACAAAGCTGAATGCCATACATTATATATATATATGTATATATATATGTATATATGTGTATGTATGTATGTATGTATGTATGTATATATGTATATAAGTATGTATATATGTATGTATATAAGACACCCCCACCCATTCAAGTCCCACCCCCACTGACAGTTAGAAAGAAAAAAAAAAAAAGCAGCTGCAACCTCACATCACTCTGAAAAGCAAGAGCCAAAGACAGAGGCCTGATGATGATGAATGAGACTTCATCGAAACGTTGCCTAGATACTTTGAATCTTACGCGGGAGAAAACCCGAACAACCAAAGATCCACATACAAATACCCGCGAGAACCTCAGAAAACATATATATATATATATATATATATAATATTATATATTATATATTATATATATATAAAATCAATAAAGCTTTTAGATTTGTTAGCAACTACAGAGGCTCTGAAACAAAGTCTAAACCCCACCATTGTGAACTATTTAAAAATATGTGAATAATATCAAGTCATTTTTATGCCATGTAATAAATAGAAAAACCCAGATTTAACCTATGCCCTCTTGAGTCTGTCACTAGATAATAACTGAGACAGATCAAAGGCTTCTAATTAGGTTATTAAATCATGAGCCGTTCCTGGCTGCATTTAGAAGTTCTCTGCCAGCACAGCAAATCAGCAGGACTTTACCCTTTGGCCTCTGCTAATTTGAAGGAACCCCAGTGATCAGAGTTTCCTCAGTCTCATTCAAACAACTCCTGAAGCTACAACCGCCAAGCCTCCTCCTTTGATATAATATATGCAGTACTGGGAAGCTTGATTCTGCTTCAACGCCCCTCACTTTCCTACTTTGGGAAGGGTATTACAGTACATGATCTAAGCAGCAAGGACTATACTCCCAACTGCTCCATCCGGATTTCCTGCAAGTCTGTTTTTTTTCCTTCAACCAAAGAGCAGGCTGATGAAAGCTGCTAAGAGCTGTGCTAGCAGATATTTCATATGAAGCACCTCGAAAGGCGGCTCTGCAAGTTTTCTTGCAGGAAAAGATCACTTCCTATTTGTTTCTGCATGGAAGGAAATGGTTAAAATAAGCAAGGTAGAGAATAATGGCTTCCTGGCTTCATCTTGCAGAGATTGCTTTGTCCCCATAGGAGGAGACAATAAAAGTCCTCCATCTCCTCCTGCCGTTACACATGGACACCATCAAAGTTCTTAATCACAGATGATGGTTACAGGTAGTTCTCAACTTACGACTGATTGCTTAGCAACCATTCAAAGTTATGACCTATCCCAAAAGGGAGACTTAAGACCTGAAATGAAAGTTCCAATGTTTGGGCCTCTCTCCTGTAAGGTAATGTGACCGCACTTCAGCAACAGGGTGAAAGAGGGTTGCAAATGCAGCAGTCTCATCTCACATCTCAGTCCTTGAGCTTCTCTCTCCCCTCTCTTTGTCTCCGTGTACGTCTCTCCGTGAAACAAGAGTTTCTGCAAATAGAGAAATGGACTGCCCACAAGTTCAGCATCACTATAACATTGCAAAGGAAACATCAGCTCTGGCGCTCTGGGGTCAAATAACAATGGAGCCAGAAAAAGAAAAGGAGAAACAAAAACCACATTTAACTATCAAAACCAGCCATTTCTACAGAAGTTCAAAGCTGGTTCCAAATTGGTACAACGTCCTTTTGTGGAGGTTTGCTGTTTCTCCCCTGCTGCTGTCAGATGGAACCCAGTTATTATCTGATGTAATAACTCTGTTGTTTAGAATGTGTCAATCCTGGGCGCACGTAACAGATTAAGTTAGCTCCAAAATTAGCAGAAAAATACAGAAATATCTGCAGAAATATCTATTTCTATCTATGTATATCTATCTATCTATCTATCTATCTATCTATCTATCTATCTATCTATCTATCTATTGATTTCTCTTTCCATAATTTTGATTTTTTTGCCCACAATTTATTATTAAAATTTAGGGTGGTTTATTTCTTTTATGCCTTCAACTCATTGTTGATGCCTGATGACTGCTTGCACAAGTTCCTGTAGTTTTCTTGGCAAGATTTCCAAAGTGGTTTGTCACTGCCTGTTTCCTAGGGCTGAAAAGATTAACTGATCCAAGGTCACCCAATTGGCTTTGTGCCTAAGAAAGAGTAGAAGTCCCAGTCTCCCAGTTGGGAGTGGTGCCTTAGCCACTACACCAAACTGACTCTAATTTAGGAGCCATTTCATTTTTGGAGACTTTCATGCTTTTGCTTTTTCAGAATGCTATAATAAAGCACTTCTTCTCATTTTCCTCTAGACTCATTGTTCTATGACTGAGAATGGCCCTAAACCTCCTGGGCTCTGGTGGATTGTGAAGCCTGGAAGTTCAAGTCAAAGAGTTACGACCACCACCTGAATTAAGAAATAGAATGATGAGCACCAACTGGAATTCTAGACCCCTTTTTGGTCTCTTGTAATCTCTGCTTCTCCAAGAACCTTAAACAGACCTATCAAAGTCTTCCCTTCAGGTAATTTCCAGGCATGTCAGCTGTCCCTCTTAATATATGCCATAATTATAGTGACATTCACCAACTGCAGTTGATTGGATACAGCTTGATCTTCACAGCAGGCTTATGTCTCAATGTTGCATCCCTCTTGATCTTCTTGTTCTACCTGAAGCTCAAGTCAGTGGTGGCCATCTACATGTGTAACTTGGTTATGAGTGACCTCCTTTTCACCATATCTCTGCCCTTCCGTATATACTACTATTACAAGGGGGAATGGCCCTTTGGAAGTTTCCTTTGTCAAGTCTCGGGTTCTCTCTTCCAAATAAATATGTACGGCAGTTGTATTTTCCTGATGTGCATCAATCTGGACCGCTTTGTTGCTATTGTCTACCCACTACGCTGGCGCCACCTCCGGCGTCCCAAAGTGGCCAGGCTGCTCTGCTGTGTGGTTTGGGTACTAATCCTGACAGGCTCTATTCCAGTTGCTCTAATCCACAAGACAACTCCATGCATTAAGCAAAGTGGAACAAATTCTAACTTTAAACAAAATGAAATTACTGTGTGCTTTGAAAGCTTCAGTCAGCACTTGTGGCAGGGGAAACTCTTCGGTCTGGTCATTTTCGCAGAGATTCTTGGCTTTCTCCTCCCTCTGACCTCTGTGACGGTCTGCTCAATCAGAATGTTTCAGAAACTATGCCAAACTCGTGGGACGCGGAGCCTGCGCCAAGAAAAGACCATTCGCATGCTCGTAGTCAATCTGGTCATCTTTATCATCTGCTTCGTACCCTACAACATCATCCTGGCAACCTATGGGATGATAAAAGCTAATGTGATTAAGACTGATTCAACCATGCAGGCTTCAGTACGCAATGCCCTTATCATCACGATGCTATTTGCAAGTACGAACTGTACTCTGGACCCCTTGATCTACTATTTCAATACAGAAGGCTTCAAAAATACTTTGAAGAGAATAAGAAGAGGGCAACCTTGGGATTTTGAGATGGGAACGCTTCATACCAGAGCAACAAAAGTTGGTTTCTACAAGGCAGCAAATGTTAAGCAAGATAGTAAACAATATCCAGTTCAGAATTCAGTTGCTCCCTGTGAGGACTTGCCATTTGCTTCCCCTAAGATATTCTTGAGTAGCTCCATTGAAGACTCTGAAATGTAGAGATGAGGGAACTATCAAACTATCAAGCTTTTGGAATGAATTGGCATTACAAAAAGTAAGTGCCAGGAACATTTGAGCAAAATATGAAGACTTGATGCACTTAAATATTGTAAAGCCTTATACTGTATGTAAGAGCATTTCATATTTCAAGAACAATTTCTGATATTGTTTTTAGAATTTATTTTCCATTTCCTACCCATAAGGCTATGTGATATTCATATGAATGCTATGAAAAATTTATGATAAAATTCACTCATTTTCAGGTTAAGTTCAGGCTCCCAATGTTGTAGTATCACTTGCTTCAGCAACAGGCATCAGATTGAAGCAAGAATGATTGTGATCTATGGGTCACAGTGTTACAGAAATACAGATTGCCATTGCTATTCTTTTCTCAAAAACCTTACACCAAAAATATTTATTAGCTGTTTCTGTATCTACCGGTATAATACCTTTACATTTTAATGACACAATGGTGGTTTGGGGTTTGGTTTTATTTTGAGCTTTGGAAAAATAGTTTACAAATACCTAAAATAAAAAGCCAACCAAATAAAAAATTCCTGCATCATTCAGCGTTGGTTTAAGGCAGAAGGCATTCAGCAAAGTTTCAGTGGTCTCTTAAAGATTTGAATTGGGGAGGGACAAGGGTTGTTTTTTGTGTTTTCTTGCATAGCCAACCTTCAATTGCAATGGACAAGAGTGGAGCTTATAAAAATAATCATTAAACCCCTCCCCCAAACACACACACAGTACAGGTAGTCTTCAACTTACAAAAGTTCGTTTAGTGACCATTCAACATTACAATGATACTGAAAAAGTGACTTATGACTGTTTTTCACACTTATGACCATTGCAGCATCCCCAAGGTCAAAATGGTCAAAATTCAGATGCTTCGCAACTGATTTATATTTATGATAATTAGAGTGTCCTGGGATCATGTGATCACCTTTTGTGACCTTCTGACAAAGTCAGTGGGGAAGCCAGATTCACTTAACAACCATCTTACTAACTTAGCAACTGCAGATTCACTTAACAGCTATGGCAAGAAAGGTCAAAAAATGGAACAAAATGGCTCATTTAGCAACAGAGTTTTGGGGCTCAACTGTGGTCATAAGTCAAGGACTACCCGTACACACATTGAATGGAAACACTGTATTTCTCTATGTCATCTCTTGCCGCCATAAAGGTTCCATGCAAGTTGTTTGTTAAAGCCTGTTTAAATCTTCCATGAAAGAGCCATAGTACATCTGGAACATAATGTTCAATCAAAAGGTATTTGTTCCCATTTTCCATAACATAGCAAGGAACTTTTGGCTCTGAAGTATGAAATTGTCATGTTCTCCATAGTCATGCTTTGGAGAGAAAAAAAGTGCCATTTCTAATTTAGTAGCTAGTTTGGCCCAGACATCTCCCCAAGTAAATGTTCACTGGAAGTATTAGCTGAAAAGATATGAAGTATGGTTTATTTATTATAAACATGCCATGGTATCAAAGATCCAGAATGTAAATGAATTGGCTTTAATCTCACCAAAGCAACATTCACAAACATGCTACACCAAAACTCTCCTTTATTATGCAAGAAGAAATACAATTTTGATCAAAAATAAAAATTTGAACGTCAAGCTTGTGTGTTTTACTCTTAAGGACTTCCATAATGTCAGTATTTCTACTATCCATACAATAATGTCCTGTGACGTTAACTCATGGCAAAAATACAAAAAATCTATGCAGAACCTCCTTACTAGGATATCTCAAATAATCATAAAAAAATCCCAGAAGTAAGAAAAGCACCAAGGAGACCTTACCTTGCTCCAGAATTATGGTGTGGTGTTTTTAATGGAATTTGTTAGGAATAACAAGGTTACCTAACGTAGTTTGGGTAAAATAATATATATAAACTATGATAGTAAGTTTAAGTGTGTGTCACTTTAAACTGCAAAGCATGTAATTTTGGGTGCGGTTGTGAAACCGCCATAAGAGGAAGCAAGAGAACCTGCTAGATTGCTGGATTGATGTTTTGCTAACTGCGTGTTCCCTGCTGCTGAGTTTTTGAATGTCGACGGAAGAAAGGAGGTTTGACTTCTTCATATCTCTACTGCGAGGAGATATATTACTGGACTGATATTTGTAAGTTTACTGACCTCTTTTTCGACACTGGACTTTGCAACTGAATAATCCCCGGATGGACTGAACTAGTGAATGATATATGGACTGTTTGACTATGCTAAAACTCTTACTGGAATAAACTATTTAACTAGCACAGTGTATCTGTTTTACTGAGTGTAAGCTACAAAAATGTTTATCTCACATATTTTTGCCTGCCTGCCTGACTGCCGTGCACAGTCTGCTAGGGTGTATCCCTAACAGAATTATTACTGAACATAATGAAGACAGAAAAAAACAAGTAATACTTTAATTTCACCCATAGATATGGTAGAAAACAGTGTTAAACATATTTAGAGTCTGCGGCTAGACTAGATTTTTCAAATCTTTCTTTCTGGGAAGCCCACTTTTTAAAAAAAAAACCAAAACCCTTTTCTGCTGTTGCTATATAGTAAGGCCATCTAGCATATGAATCAAAGGTGACACTGCATTAGAGAAAATTTCCTCTAATTATATCGAAAAAGTAAATTTGCATTCAGAATAAAGAACAGAAAAATATGATATTATCCTTGCTTTAAATTGCAGTTTTTCCAGTTATTTCAGTTAGAGAATGAAGCTAATTTTTTAAAAAAATCATTTCAATACAATAAGGCTCTAACTTGTAATTTAAAGATACACTTGATTCATTTTAGGACTTCCTCCGTGATATCAGATTTGCTCTAGCAACTTTTATGCGAAATACAAATGAAAATAAATAAAAAAATTATTTCTTATTAAATTACTAGAGGTTATACATATAGAATTAAACAATTGCATCAATGCCCCTGGAATCCTGTTATCATTCTTTAGAAGCTAACTCTATTGGGGCTTCAGTTTACCTTAATCACAACTATCTCAAACTTGTGCAGTAATTTAGTCAGTCTTGTTCCTCTGCTGCCACCTGGTGGCTCAGAATCTGCTGGTGAGAGTTGGAGACAGAAGTAACTTTCAACAGTCCTGAGAAGCATTTATAACTTGGGTCAATGCATTTGGTGCTATTCCAAGTCTTTATTCATTGTTAGACGAGTTTTCAGAAGACCTGAACTTGAAAACCTATCTGCTACAGTTGCACAATACATGCTTTTCTCAGTTACTAGGAGTATCCCATCAATTTGAAAATAAAACAAGAATGTTGAAAAACGTATTTATTAAATTAGCGGTATCTGTGATTTAAACAAACTAAATTTTAGTTGGCCAAAATGTTTTTAGAATTTTTCTAATGGCGAGCATCATTTGGATGGAATCTGAATCAGTAGTGATTGATGGTCTGATTTAAAAAAAAAACCAATGTGTAATTTGACTTTGGATTCATTCCTATGGAACCTGGTGCTGACTACCTTGCTTGGATGGCTTTTTAAAAAGTGGGTGGGGGGGCTAGACCAATTCATGAAAGTCATGCATATTATTCTTGATAGCAGTATGACTGCCTCTGAAGGCCTTCTGCTGGGAGACTCATGGCAACCTTGTGCAGTTGTTGGCCACTGGGAGAATAGATTGCTGGATTAGGCAGTTAGGAATTTGATCTAGCAGGACACTGCTTATGTCATTGGTTGTTTTGTTCTGCTTTGCTTTATTTCTTCTGTGATATGAGCAACATCAACTTATTCAGAAGAACAGCACCTCCAAGAGTACTTGGAGGTACTCCAACTCTATTCTGATATTCTGTTAATTCTATACAGTATTACAGACAAACTATTTTCATCAAAGGTTGTGTGGAAAGGGAACTTCACGAAGACAGTAGTGTCACAAAAACAGGAAAAGCCCAAGGGGAACATCAGGTCAGCCAGAAAACAAACTTACATAGGAAAAGGAATCAAATAAAAATGGTATTAAAGAATCCCTATAGACAAAAGCCTAAGTAATTAAGAAAACTAGACAAATAAGAAAAGGAAACAAAAAGATAATTTAGAAAACCCTTACAAACACAGGACTTACCAAATAAGCAAAACAAACAGACAAAAGACACAATATATAAATTACAAAAGGGACAGACAGGAGATTGCCACAGAACAAATATGAAAAACTATCTTAAAGCTAAAAGAGATTAGAGAAAACCAATAATACAAGCCACCCCGCAGAGTTTGCCCTCCGGCGGGAATAAAGACAAACTCAAACAGGATTTGAAACATTAAGCACAAATACAAACATTCACACAAAATCAACTTACAAAGGGAGAAAAGGGTATAAAAAAACAGGGACTTACCATAAGAAGCTAGCTAGCCCAGGAACGCAGACTTCTCACTGTCCCCCGCCTTCCTGAAAAATAAAAAGATCCAGCTTTCAAGCAGTTGTCCGTATCCTTGCACTGGAGCTCTCTCAGCGGGAAAATCGAATCCTCAAAAGAAAGGCATTTTGACACCTTTCAACAATTGGCAACCATGAAGATTTCCCAGCCAACCCTGCCACCGCGGATCCAAACCCAGCCGGCATGGACCTTCTTTGTGCAGGGACAACATCCACGGACCCAGCCCGGAAGGTATAGGGTAGTAAAGGGAGTCCTTGGGCTTTTCCGCTCAACAGCTGCTTGAAAGCAGGTGAGTACTGCTTCAAATTTATAATCTTACTAAGGGGAGTGGAAGCGTGAGTGGACCAGGTGTGTGATTGTGGGTTTTCTCTGCGGAAACAGTGGGACCTCACCTCCTCCATGATTGCCAGCCACACCCCAGCCAGCTGCGAGCTCAAACATGAGCCATGACTGGCTGGATTTGGGAACGCAAGGGGTGATCATGGAGTGTGAGTCCTTCTGAAGTACATAACAAAAACCGAGTGGGCTGCAAAAGGAACTGGTGTTAGGAAATAAATAAAAAGCAGAGGAAAAATAGTCCCGACGCATCCCGCAAGCAAAGCCCTGTGTATTTAGAAGGGGCCCGCACCGGCTGCTGGCAAACAAAATTGGAAATAGTTTGTCTAAAAAAAGTAGAAAAGGTCCTTCCAGATCCCCACCTTTAAGGGAGATCTGAAAACTGATGGCTGTGTAGGGAGGGGCCCGTACCAGAGCTGCTAGGGGGCAGACGGTCCTCCGAGATCCCTGTTTTTTAGGGGCGGGTCTTAAAACTGATGGCTGAGTTTCCCTAAAAGAAAGGGGCCCATACTCCATGTGTAGGGAAACCGGAGTCCTTTCCAGACCATTTTTGTCTGAAAACTGATGGCTACAGCCCGGCTAAACCAAAGTAATCCCTACATCAAGCAGGGAATATGAGAAGTTGTAGCTTGAGGACAATGGAAGAGACCCCCTTGGATAAATTACTTGAGTCTTGGGATGAAAGGCAAGTGCCTGTCCTGACTGGAATGCTTAAAAAAGAAGCAAAAAGAATTTGCAAAAAGTGGGCTTTATTGCGAGATGACACGGGTAGACAAATTTGGCCTGATAGCAGTACTTTAGATTATAAAACCCTGAAAGCACTTAGAACACGCATTAAACCCAGCCAAATCCCTATTGGTACTGCTGGGCTGAAATGGCTAGGACCAAAGACCTGACCGAGGGAAAAGATCAGGAAAAACCTGAAACCCATTCCCTGGAAGGAAAGACTGAGGCACGGATTATGGCTCCCCTTTTAAGCAAACCAGTGCCAGGCCGAAATAGGGGACAATTAGAATACGTTTTAACCCACACTCCCTTCTCTGCCTCTGACTTGGTCATCTGGAAAAAGGATACCCCAGCTTTCAGGGCTGATCCTCAAACAGCAATTCAAACCCTGAAATCTATCATAGACAGCCATAATCCATCCTGGGGTGATATGACCCAGCTGCTACAAGTCTTTCTAACTAAAGATGAACCATTAAGACTATTTGAAAAAACAGACCAAATAGCTAAACTATCGACTATCCCTGGACAGGCAGCCCCAGCCCGCATCGCATGGCTAGTACATCGCCCTGACTGGGACTACAATGATACCAATCTCTAGGATGAATACACAAGAGCAAAAAATAGCTTACTAGAAGATTTAGAGGAAATAGGTAAAAAGCCTTTAAACTGGTCCAAATTTCAAAAAACAACACAAAGGGAAAAGGAGAACCCTGATGCCTTTTGGGTCCACCTGTCAGAAGCAGCTACTGCATATGCCCACCTAGACCTTAGCTGCCTGAAGGACCAAAGGATTTTAGCTTCAGCCTTCGTGGACCAGTCCACCATGGATATCAAAGAGCATTTTCACTGCTTTGTCTCTAACTGGCCAACCTTAGAAATAGCAGAGTTGCTCAGGATCGCTAACTTTGTCTATGATCAAAGAGACAAACTGAAAGAGGAAGAGAAAGATAGGAAAAGGAGGATAGAAAGACATGAGGACTTAAAAATGTTTGCTGTAATGCAGCATGATGCCAGACAAATGCCAGGTAAAATCCCCTATAATTCAAGGAAATGCTGGCGTTGTGATAAAGCAGGATGATCGCAAGGCAAATGCCAGCATTGCTATAGGTGCGGACAGGAAAGGCATTTCAGCAGGCAATGTAGGCAACACCTTTCCCGCACCCGGTAT